CGGCTGCTGGCCTCTGCCCCTGCTGGCGCCAGCCTGGCCGTCTCAGCCCCAGATGTTAGCGTGCGTGGGGACGGTCCTCGCGGGGGCCTGGAGGGGCAGGTCCACCATTGTCCGCTGTCCAGCCAGCAAGCTACCTCAGGTGCTTGTGCTAGGAGGACACGGCTGGGGTGGGGACCAGGAGCTGCTGGGGGCCAGCTGGAGGGCCCTGGGCCCACCTGGCCAGACCTGGGGCCGAGGGCGCAGGGGCTGGTGTGCGCGGCACAGTGGGCAAGCGCACACGAGGACCAGCTTCCCGCTCCTCTGGCGCGCGGTGCTTCCGGAGGCCTGTGCGGGGCCACAGCAGCGCCGATAGCTCCCCCCACCCCCACAGCGCCGATAAGCCCAGTGGGGGGCGCAGCTGGGGGAGAGCACCGGGTCACGGGGCTGCCCCTTCTATTCGGACTCAGCCTCTGGGGCCCGCAGGTCACGGGCAGGCACCGGCTCCCCGGCCCGCCCCCTGCTGTGACGGTGGGCCCAGCAGATTCGAGCCAGGGACCCCACGGCTGGTGTCCCCAAGCCCCCCCCAGGCATGTCCCATGGCCCCCCAGGGCTCAGGACCAGGAAGGGGCCTCCTGTGCCTCCTGGGCCCTCCGGGATGGCCCCGTGGATGGGCAGGACAGCCCTGCGGAGCCCCGGCTTCCCCACCTGGTGCGGCCAGCACTGCAGCAAGAGTACCAGCCTGGCGGCCCGGCCCCCGGGAGCTAAGCTTTGGGCCAGAGTCTCCTGGGCCCGAGCTGAGGCCCCCCAGGTGGACGGGGCGGGGCAGGGACAGGCGCCCCTGTGCAGAGGCGAGGGGGCGTGGGGGGGTGGCCGGCAGAGCCGACGCGGCTGGTGACCTCGGGCTCCCAGCATGACCGGCTGGCACTCCCCGAGCTGCCCGCGGCCACTTCCATCAGCTGAGTGGCTCCGGCCCACCGTCCCAGGGCCCCCAGCTATTCCAGGGCCTCTTCTGCTGATGGCTGGGCGGAGCCGCCTGCGGGGTGTCTGCTCACTCCTGCTGAGGGCCGGTGGCCTGGGCCCTCGGATGCCCTTGGGGCTCCCTTGGATGGGCCTCGGGAAACCCACCCCCTGTGCTCCCCAGGGAGTGGGCCACGAGGCAGGGCCACGGGGCGCTCCTTAGCAGGCCGGGCCTGCGGCTGCCGCCCATGTGGGCCCTCCCTGCCCAGCGACGAATGCCCCTTGGGGAGCCCCTGTGGGACACGCGCTGGGGAGCCCCGCGGCTGGGGAGACCCTGTCCTCTCCTCTGACCAGGACTGCCCAGAGGAGGCCCCATCTCCCACCTCTCCCGCCCTAGCCCCAAACCCGCCCTCTGGGGACCTGACCTCCGACCCCTGGAGGAGCCTGGGACTCCCCACACTCTCCCAGCCCCCACCAGGGGCCCTGGAGGAGAGGCAGGTGGGAGGGAGCACCGGGCACCCCCAGCCGCAGACAGACAGAGGCGGGAACGGGGGCTTGGGCACCCGGACAGCCCCGGACCATGACCTGCCACGGCCAGGCGGGATGGGAGGAGGGGCGGGCAGGAGGAGGGCTGAGCGGGGCCTCCGGGGGGTGCGCACCCCAGTCGCGGTCTGCAGCCGCCACGCCTGGGCCCCTCCAGCAGGGTGGGGCCTCCAGGTGCTCCAGGCCCGGCCCAGCGAAGGTGCGGAAAGCGTGGCCGGCCCCTCCCGGGCCTTGCTGCCCCTCCCGGCCTGTCCTGTGAGCGCAGGGGCCGGCAGCCCCACTGCAGCATGAGGGTCCACTGCCCCCCTGGGGTCTCCGGCCTCAGTCCTGCACCTTCGGGCCAGCACGCGGGTCTCGTTCCTGGGGGAGCTGCCGTCCAGGCACCCACAGTTGCCTACGCTGGTGGGGACCTGAGGGGCCGGAGGTGCCCAGACCTCCCCAAGCCTCATCGCCCCCAAAGGGTGGCGGGGGCCAGTGGCGGGCCTCCGCGGGGCCCTGACGGTAGGGATGTGGGCGGGGGGCTGGGGCCGGGGGCTCTGCGGGGTCCTGACGTGGGGACGCGGGGGTGGGGCCGGGGGCCTCTGTCCTCCCCCACCGGGCCGGGGTCTCGCCACGGCAGCCTGTTCGGGGCCCGGCGCAGACGGACGCGAGTCTCTCCTAAATCCAGTATTTAATTTTTTTCTCCGGGAAGCTGTGGGAGGCTTTGGAGACGCTGCCGAGCCGATAAGCCGGGACCTGGCAGTTCTGGCTCTCGCGGAGCCCGGCCCCTGCGCGGCTGCTGGCCGGGGTGCGGCATGGCGGGGGGGGTCTGCCGGAGCGGCAGGCCCCGCGAGTTGGAGGACACGGGCTGGGAAGCCGGACCTGCCACTGAGAGGCACGCTCGGCCCGGCTGCAGGAGGCTGGGGGCGACGGCTGGGGGTTTGCCGATGCCCCCGCGCCCGGGCCCCCCGAGACCCTGCCTGGGGTCAGCCTGCCTCCCTGCAGCCTTGCTTCCGGGAGGACCCCTCAGCCTGCGGGCAAGCTCTGTCGTGTGGAGTGGGGCAGGGGACGCCCGCATTCCCTCTGAGCAGTCCCTTCGCACCCCCGGGAGTGAGGCCCATGTTCTGTGTCCGGGCCCCAGGGGAAGCGATAGCCCAGGGGCAGTGTCCCCCCCCACCTTGTCAGCAACGGCTGGAACCCGGCAGTGCAGAGCACCTGATGGGCACGCTGCGGGGCGGGGATTCCAGGCCCTCTGCCCCTGGAGCCCGGACCCTCCCTTTGCCCCCAGCGGCTCCCGGCCTCCTCCTTGCTGGCTCAGGCTCCTCGTGTTCACACAAGGCTTGTGAGGGCCGTTGCCCCTGACAACAGGGGCATCTGGGATGGGGGTGTGGGAGCGGTGATGGTGACCCAGGTGCCGCCAGGCCTCGCAGCTTTAGGCCCCTCGCAGGCCTTCGGGGCGGCCCAGGCTGCGCTCGTTCAAGGGCAGTGTCAGAGCGGCTGCCACCTGCCATGTCAGCAGCCACTTTGCAGGACTGGCAGGCACTGGTGCTCAAGAGCTGCCTGGAGTGGCCGGTCACTTCCGTGCTGTGTCATCTGTCCTGGCTGCAGGGGCCAGGGTCTCCCCTGTGCCCAGAGGGGAAGCTGCTGCTCGCGTGAAGTCCTGCCCCCTGCCCCTAGGCCGCTGGACCTGGGGGGAGGAGCGCACCCCCGACCCGTGCTAGCCCCCGGGCCAGCCGTGACTGTGAGTGGCTCCAGGTGCCCACCTGCGGGGGCCGCCAGCCTCCCCCCACTGCACCGCCAGCCTGGGAGGGTGTGAGGGCGACCCCAGGGAGCATCGCAGGGTCCCCCGGGGCTGGGCCTCAGGCCCCAGCTGTCAGGTGTGAGGCCCTGGGAGACAGAGCCTGGCCCCCGGTCAGGCTCTTGGCCGGGGTGCAGCCCAGCGCCCTGTCGCCTGCCTGCACGGGCCCTGCGGCCCGCCCAACCCTGCATCAGCTGACCAGGGGCCTGCAGGGGGGTGAGGGGCCACACGGGCGCCTGAGCCGGCTGACTTCATGCCACCCTCAGCCGGGCCCCACCTGATCACGCTGGACGGCAGCCAGGGCCGCCCAGACCCCTCCAGAGCTTTACCCACCAGCCTTGGCTTCTGGACGGAGCCCAGGAGCCGGGTGTGTGGGCACCGGGCAGGCCCTGGACAGCCGCTGTGCGTGGGGCCTGAGCCCACGACCCTGGACACTGCCCCGCTGCAGGGTGAGCTAGACGGGGCCCGCAGCCAGAACGCCCCGCTGGCCACTACAGCTTGGTGCCGGTCGCGGGCTGGAGGTTGCCAGGGTCAGGCTGCGCGGGCCACGTGTTCCGGTCGGTTCCAGGGGCGGACCCGCGACTCAGGCCACGGGGACACGGGGTTAAGGCAGGAAAGTGCAGCCAGTCGCCCCCCCAGCCCCACCAGGGCGCCCCCGCACCAGGGAGCCCCACGCTCTGGGGAAACAGACCCTGGGCCCCGCCCTCAAGGACGCGCTGTGCTGGCTGGGTGGGGACAGGCGGCTGTGCTGTCCTGAAAGCCCCGCTGGGACCCCAGGCCCTGCCCCAGCGCAGGGGCAGCAGGGGCCCAACGGGCAGGTGGGGAGGCCCGCCGGGGTGGCGGTCAGAGGGGCCAGTGGGCCCAGGGACTGGGCCGCGGACGGGCGAAGTTTCCTCATAAGAGGACTAGGCGGTTTGCAGAAGGCCCAGGGCTGAGGGCTGAGGGCGCGTCCAGGCAGAGTGGCGGGGCTGGGCGGGGGTAAGAACCCCAGGATGGGCGCCCCCCGCTGTGTAGCATCCAGCAGCCAATGGTGCCCTCTGCTGGCCGTGCCGGGCAGCGCCCTCGGGCTGCCTCTCGCCCCGGTGTGGGACACCCCCAGGCCTCGGCCTGGCACTGGTGGCCCTGGGTGGTGGCTGCCCCAGGACAGTCCCTGCATGGCCGGACATGACAGCCGAGAGCAGACCTGGGGTTCTGGCCTCGCACTCCAGTCTCACCCACGATTCCACGGCGGGCTCGGGAGCCCCAGGGGCCTGGCTGCCGCACAGCAGGCGGTGGGACGATGGAGAGGAACCCCAGGGCTTCGGATATGAGGGGGTGCTGTCAGGCAGCGACCCCAATGCCCCCTAGGAGGGCACCCCAATAGCCCAGCCTGTCCACCTGGATGGGCCCCGGGAAGGTGAGCGAGAGCAGGCGCAGCCGGAGGGCAATGCCAGGACCGAATGGGTGGACAGTGAGGCCCACCCCAGCCCTGAGTCCCAAACCCCCAGGGCCACAGAGGTCTGACCCGGCTGGCCAGGGGCCCACAGGCTGAGGCCCTTCTGGCAGTGGATGAGCGCCCTGGGCCCCTGCTTGGGCCTGGCAGTGGCACGTCGGGTGGGGCTGGGTGGCCTGGCCCTTTAAGAGGGTGGGGGTGGGGGGAGGGGAGCCCTGTTGCCTGGCAACCAGAGCCTGTGTACCTGTCCAGTCTCCAGGCCAGCGGGTGCCATGGCCTGCTGTGGGGACCCAGTGGCCGGGGCCGCCCAGCTCGTGGCGCCACGAGCCCCGCCCCACTCCCTGCCCGCGCCTGCCCCCTGCCCGGTGGGCACCATGGCGCAGTCAGACGTGCTCCTGACTAGGCCGCCCGCCCCACAGACGGTGCCGGCCTGTGAGCTGCCCCCCAAGCAGCACGAGGTGGCGTGCAACACGGGCGCCCACACGTCCGCGGGCCTGGCCACCGCCGGCTTCCGCACGGCCAAGTACCTGCTGGACGAGTGGTTCCAGGGCTGTTACGCCCGCTACCACCAGGCCTTCGCCGACCGCGACAGCTCGGAGCAGCTGCGCCACGAGAGTAGGCGCCTGGCAGAGGAGACGGGGGCGCGGGCGTGGCGCACGCAGGAGGACTCCACGCGGCAGGTGGGCGCGCGGCTGCAGGACATGCAGGCCTGGCAAGGCGAGCTGCAGCGCCAGGCGCAGGAGCTGCTGGCTGAGGCTGACCTGCTGCTGGCCCAGAGGCGGCGGCTGCAGCGCGCCCTGGACGCTGTGGCCATGCCCCTGTCCATCGCCACCGACAACCTGCAGAGCCGGGAGCGCCGCCAGCACCCCGACCTCGTGCGGGACTGCGTGGAGCTGGAGCTGCTGAAGGTGCTGGGCCCGGCCATGGCCCAACCCCCCCCCCGAGTCCGGCGCCCCTTCGGGATCCCGTGAGGGCTCACCCCAGGTGGGGCGGGCCACGCCGGGCTGTTCAGTTGGGACCTGTGCTGGAGGTCAGAGGTCACTGGGAAAGAGAAGGGCCCGGCTGTACCCCCAGCCCTGACACGGCTCCACGTGCCCCCCCAGGATGGGAGGGGCCCAGGCGGAGGCTTGGGAGCTGTGGGACCAGGCACCCCTCTTGGGGAGGTTCCTGGGGCACTGGCCCTGCCGGGCAGCCCCCAGTCACCCCTGGTCATGCAAACCCAGCCTGGCCCTCATGCCCAGAGGCTGGCCCACCCCGGCACCCCAAGAAAGCAAAGTGGAAACTGGCATGCACCTGTGGGCTGTCGAGGGCTGAGGGGGTGCCCTGCTCCCCCAAATGTCCCCTGTGAACCCGGCAGCACCTGTCTGGGGTGGCCCTCACCTCCCAGCGCGGGGCCTTGCTGAGAGAAGGCTACAGGCCATGGGGTTAGGGAACGCCAGAGACTAGCCTGCACCCCGAGCTTCCTGGGCCCTGCCTGCACCCTGGCCTGTGCTGCTCCGGGCCTGCCGCAGACAGCCACAGGCGGCCCAGGCGGGGCTCGGCGCGCAGTGGCGGTGAAAATGAGATGGGGGGTAGTTTGTGACCGAGAGGCAGATGTCAGGTATCGGGGAGACCCAGCACAGGGCCCAGGGCAGCTCTGGGAGGCCCTGGTTCTCAGGGGCTGGCTGTCCAGAGACCAGTGCAGGGGTGGACTATTGGGACAGGCTCAGATGCCAGGGCAGAGGCCCCACCACCAGGGCAGTTGCCCAGCAGCTGCCCAGCAGCCCACGAGCCCTGCGAGTGTCCCGCCCCCACGGCACCCCAGAGAGAACATTCTAAAGCCCAGAACACACCAGGAGGGACCGGGCAAGCAGCCCGCCCAGCCAGGCCCCGCCCGCGCGCCCCGCCCCCTGGCGCGCAGGTGTGGCTGAGGACCCTCACCAGGGAAGGGTCTGTCTCCCCAGGAGGCGGAGCTCATCCGGAACATTCAGGAACTTCTGAAGAGGACCATCGCGCAGGCCACGGGCCAGATCCGGTGGGTGACTGCCCCGGGAGAGGCGGGGGTCCCCGCACGGGCCGCGCGGGGACTCCTGGCTGGGCGGGAGAGGGGCTGCCGCCCGCGCGGACCGGGCGCTGCCTCGCAGGCTGAACCGCGAGCACAAGGAGACGTGCGAGGCCAGCTGGTCGGACAAGGTGGAGGCCTACAACATCGACGAGGCCTGCGCGCGCCTGCGCGACCAGAGCCCCGCGGCGCAGTTCCACCCGCACTCGGCCGCGCTGGAGGAGAGGTGGGCGCTCCCGCTGGCCGCCGGGGGGCGCGCGGCCCTCGCAGGGCGCTGGCCAGGGGCCGCCGCCCTCGGGGCCGGCCTGGGGCGGGCGTGGGGGCCCGGCGGGCACCGACCGTGGGGGCCTCTGCCCGCAGCGCGTCCACGCCCGAGACGTGGGCCCAGTTCACCCGGGACATTCTGTGCCGCGGGGAGCGCGAGCGCCTGGCCTCGGCCAACCTGCGGGCGCTCATCGACTGCATCCTGCGGGACACGGCGGAGGACCTGCGGCTGCAGAACGACAACGTGAACCTGGCCTTCGGGCGCCGCTGCCAAGAGCTGGAGGACGCGCAGCACAAGCTGGAGCACCACCTGCGCAAGGTGGGGCGCGCGCGGCCGCCCGGCGGCGGGCCCCGCCCCCAGGAACCAGGCCCCGCCCTCTCGGCGGCAGGCCCCGCCCACCGCTTCGGACCCCGCCTTCCATGCAGCCCCGCCCCCAGGAACCAGGCCCCGCCCTCTCGGCGGCAGGCCCCGCCCACCGCTTCGGGCCCCGCCTTCCATGCAGCCCCGCCCCCAGGAACCAGGCCCCGCCCTCTCGGCGGCAGGCCCCGCCCACCACTTCGGGCCCCGCCTTCCATGCAGCCCGCCCCCAGAAACCAGACCACACCCACTCGGCGGCAGGCCCCGCCTTCCCGGCGGCCCCGCCCCCGCGCCCGGGCCGCCCCGAGCCTTCCTGCGCCCCGCCCGGCCCGCGGTCCGGGACCCCCGGGCGGGGCGCCCTCTCCGCCCGCGCTGGCTGGGCGCCGGCAGCAGGTGGACTCGGGGTGGGCGGCGGCTCTGCCAGCGCGCGGCCGCCCCGAGCCAGGGCCGGGGGGCGCAGGAGGGGCGCGGGCCGGGCGGGTGGACCCCAGGGCCGGCCCGGGCTGGCGCGCTCGGGCCCCGGCGCCTCCGGCGTGGCCCGCGCGTGGCCCGGACGGGGCCGGGTGGCCGGACGCCGGGGTCGCTGTCCCCCGCCCCGGGGGTCCCTGCGGGGCCGCGGCGCGCGCTCCTGGCTTCCGCGCCCCCAGCCGGCCCGGCCCTCGGCTGCCGCCCGCAGACGCTGCGCGAGATCGCGGACCAGGAGCGCGGCGTGGCGGCGCTGCGGCGGGCGGTGCGCGCCCAGGAGGCGCCGCTGAAGGTGGCCCAGACCCGCCTGCACCGGCGCGCCTTCCGGCCGGGCGTGGAGCTGTGCCGCGACGCCGCCCAGCTCAGGTGCGCCCCGCCTCGGCGCGCCCGGCCCCGCCGCCCAGCTCGCCAGGGCGACCCCGCTGCGGGCGCCGAGGGCCCGCCCGGCCCGGAGACGCGGCGGGGCGCGGGGAGGGGCGGGCGGCGGGGGGCGCGGGGGGCGCGCGAGTTGCGCGCGCGCGCGCCGCGGCCGCACGGGGGGCAGCTCCGCGCGCGGCGGGTGGACGCGGCTCCGGGGCCGGCCGCGCCGGGGTCCTGCCCCGCCCTGGCCCGCTCCCCGCCGCGCCCGGGCCAGTCTCGCGGGGCGCCCGGGGGGCCCGGCCCGGCGCGCGCTCACGCCGGCCCGCGCCCCCAGGCTGACCTGCGAGGTGCAGGAGCTGCACGCGGCCCTGGCGGCCCTGAAGGCGACGCTGCTGGAGGCCGAGCAGGCGCTGCGGAACCTGGAGGACACGCGCGGGCGCCTGGAGCGCGACATCGCCGTCAAGGCCAACAGCCTCTTCATCGACCGGCAGAAGTGCCTGGCGCGCCGCGCGCGCTACCCCTCGGCGCTGCAGCTCGCGGGCTACCCCTGAGCCGCCCCGCCCCCTCGCGCCCCCAAATAAAGAGTGCGGAGCTTCTCTCCCGCCGCTTCCTGCCGGGCTGGGCCCCCTGGCCGGGCCGTGGGAGGCGCGGGGGCCCCTGAGCCGCGAGGGAGAGCGGCGCGGGCGCGGGCCGCCCGCCCCGGCCTCCAGCTCAGCGCCAGGGCCCTGCAGGGCGCCCGGGCACCCTCGCCCGCCAGGTCATGCGGCAAGTTCCCTGCCCCCTGTGGGCACCCCGGGAGGGGACGGGAGGGGGGCGGCGGGGGCAGCCCCGCATGGCAGGACCTGGTGCCAGACCCCAGCCGGCCAGAGCTGCCCGGAGCCGGAGCCCGGCCCGGGCCCCTCCCGGCGCCGCCCTGAGTCACCCCCTGCAGGGCCTCCCCAGGGCAGCCTGCGGGCGCTCCTGGGCCCCGCCCCATGCCTGCTCTGGGCTCCGCTACACCCCAGGCCCTCCAGGGCTCACAGCCAAGGCCCATCTCCCTTGGGGTCAGCTCTGTGTGCTGGGCGGCAGCCGGCTGGGCAGGGGAGGTTCGGGGTGCAGACGGGCCGCAGCTCAGGCCAGGGGCCGCGGGCCTGGGCACCCTTCCCCTGGGGGTTCCAACGGCCACCCCAGTGTGGGGGAGAAGGGCCTGGCCACCCCGCAGGACGAGGAGGCCCCGAGGCAGGGCAGGGGAACCCAGCCGTGCCCAGCAGGCTGGGGAGCAGAGCGCCTGGTGGGTGATTCAGGGTGGGGTGGGTCTTCAGCAGGCCTTTGTGGGACCCCACCCCAGAGGGCTGGGTCTGCACCCCCCTTTCCTCTGTTCTTTATCTCCAGCCCCCACCAGCTGCAACCCCACCTCCTCGGCTCTCCCCTATGTTGCTACACCCCAAGCAGGCAGCAGGCTCAGCTTCCATTGAGGGGGCAGTGCCCAGTCCCCCCCACCAGCGCCAGGCAGCCAGCACAGGGTGGGCAGGAGGACGGGGCCGCAAGGCAGGAGCGCGAGGGCCTGGGTGGGCAGCGCGGCCGGAGCCGCCTCTGGGGCCTGAGAGGCGAGTGGTCTTGGCCAGCAGGGCAGCCACGGGCCAGGGTTCTGCGATGTGAAGGGCTCTTTCCCGGGGTCAGGCAGGGACGTGGACAGCAGCAGGCCGGGCGCAGGCCCCTCTAGGCCCGGCGGTGGGCGCCTGGGCTGGGCAGGCTGCACTGGGAGGAGTCTGCTCGCCCCCTGCAAACCCAGCTCCGGCCACACAACTGACCAGGGTGCCCGGACCCCACTTCCCAGGAATGAGGGCACTGGTGGCCCAGGCCCCCCTCGGGGGTGGATCCCTGGAGACACCCACTTCTGTTGCCCCCCCGCCCCACACAAGGGCTCCAGGGGTCTCATGGGGTCTGACATGGCCGGGGGCTAAGTCTGGATATCCTGAGCCTGGGGTGGGGAGCCTGGGGTGGGGAGCCTGGGGTGTTCTCACCTGCCAGGAGCCTCAGTCCACAGACCCCTGTGCAAGAGGAAGGTCCTTGCCTGCGTCCCAGTCCCCAAGGGCTTCCTGGAGGAGGGGGCAGACCTTTGCTTAGCGGGGCCAGGACAGAGTGACACCTGGACCACACACCTGCCCCAGCCAGAGACAGTCCTCAGGGACAAAGCGTTGGAGCCCAGGACAGGCGGGGCCCGCCTGCAGCAGCCGGGGGGGCGGGGGCCGCCAGGGCAACCCAGCAGTGGCCAGCGCAGGGTGGCTGGGCAGTAGGCAGGCAGGGGCGGGAGGAAGGAGGCCCAGGCTGGTGGGTGAGACCCCCATGGGGTCTGCCTGGCCACATGGCAACGCCTCCTCAGCCCCTCCCTGTCCTGGGAGCGCAGGTCGGGCCCCAGGCAGAGACCCTGGGGGGCGCCTCCCTGGAAGAGCCCTCTGCTGGTCTTGGGGGGCCTCCTCGAGCCCCCTTTCCCCACGGCTCCCCGTGTCTGCCTGGGGGCCGAGGCCCAGGACTTGCCTGCCCAGCCCACGGAGGCCACAGGGGGCAGGTACCGGGTCGGGGAGCAGCCGGGGCCCGGCATGCCGGTCAGAGGGGAGCTGGCCTCGAGGACGCAGCTGCAGGGGAAAGACAAAGGAACCCCGAGACCGGCGCACCCAGCCCAGAGGAGACCCTGGCGGGGTGCAGGGCTGGGGCCTGGCCGGGGCCTCGAGGGGCGCCTGTGGCTGCTGGGACAGGAGGGGTCTGGCCCCAGGGTGGGGTCTCTCGCGCCCTTCACCCGGCCTGGGACACGCCAGGCGAGCAACTGCCGTGTACGGGCGCCGGCTGGTGGGCACGCGCAGGGCTCTGCATCCTCGGGGGTCTGGGGGTTCACAGGGGAAGCTGCAGACCCAGAGGCCGCTGCTCTCCTCCTCGCGGGGGGGCTGGACCCCACTGAGGAGGGAATGGGGCAGAGTCACGGCCGCGGGGCGGGGGGACAGGGGAAGGCAGGGGAGGGAGCTTGCCGCGGCGGCCCTGGGTCCAGGATGAGCAGGCGGGGGTCCGGGATGAGCAGGCCGGGGTCCGCACCCTCGGGGCAGGCCGGTGGGCACAGGCACCATCCGCAGAGCTGTGAGAGCTCAGAGGCGGCCTCCCCTGGCCTCTGGAGCCCCCCATGGGCACGAGGAGGGGGTGCCCTGGGCGGTTTATGGGTTCAGCAGAGCCCCCACAGAAAGCCCATTGGTGCATCCAGGCGACACCCCAGTGTCACGACCCCCGCCCGTTCAGAGCGGCCGGCTGTGGGCCGTGTGGTCGCCTCCCACGGCTGAGCCCGCAAGTCCTAAGGGGGCCGCCGCGCCCGGACACTCTGGTCACCAGGGGAGACCCGGCCCGCGCACGCCCCTTCTCGCCGGGCGCTTGTCCCTGGGCCCTGCCTGCGCGTGGAGCCCCCGGACAGCGCGGCTGTGGGCGAGTGCGCCCCACAGTGGCGCTGCTGGGCCCCGGTGTGGGGTGGTGGGGGTTCGCCCGGGGCCCCTCGGGTCCGCGGGCTGGGGAACTGGCCAACCGCTGAGGGACCCAGGAGGACGGGTGGGGGCGGCAGGGCGCAGAGGCAGCTGGGTGTCCTGGGGGCACGGGGGGGGTGTCGGGGGGGGGGGTCGGCCCAGCAGGGCAGCGTGTTGGGCCAGCCCGAGGGCCCTGACCGTGTTGCAGGGAGCCCGTGCTGGGGAAGGGGAGAAGGCCTGGAGGCCAGGCGAGGCTGGTGGCCGGGCAGCCGCCAGGCACAGCCCCGAAATGGCCCAGAGCGGCCCGTTGTTTTCCTCAGTGTGAAACACGCGGGCACAGCGCTGCTGGTGACGGCCGTGGCTCCGGTGTTCATTCAACAAACACGCCTCAGGACTGCCCCGGGGCACCGGCCGGCGTGCAGGGTCGGGACAGCGCCTGCACACGCGGGGGGCTGCGGGAGGGTCAGACCCGGGCGCCACACTCCGCCCCACCGGCCTGAGCTCCGGGGCCCCGGCAAGCGGCCCTCACAGCTGTCCCCCCGCCCCCCGCCCCAGAGCAAGTCTCTGCTCGGCTAGACCCCCGGCCCGGCCGCCGTCCTGGCTGCCCAGGCCTCTCCCAGCGGAGGCCGCCCCCCCGCCCCAGCCGGCTTTCCGGTCAGGTTACCCGGGAGCCCGCGCCAGTAAAACCCACCGATGCGGAGAAAGGGCCCAGAAGGCAGGCCTGCGGGTGTTGGCTCTGTGCCCGCGCGGTCTGGGGGCTGCCCGCCGGCCGGGCGGCTCCTAGGACATCCTGCTCCCGCCCTCCCGGGGGGCCCGGGCCAGCCGAGTCTGCCTCGGCGCCCACCCGGCCAGGGCGCGGCGGCCGGGGTGTCCGTCCCCCCAGCGCCCGCACACCGCCGGGCGTGGCGCCACCTGCTCCCAGGCCCAGGCCGGCGCTCCTGCCCCGGGCAGCTCTGCACACCCCGCGTCCGTCTCCTCCCCTCCGATCCCCGCTCTTCTCCCGGGCCGGGATGGAGCCCCCCAACCCCCATGGGGGTGCCTGAGGCCTGAGTCTGGCCCCTTCTGCCCCCAAGGTGAGAGGACGCACACCCCGATCTCTGCTGACTCCGCGCCTTCACGCGGGCTGCTCCCTCTGCCTCCGGGGCCCTTCCCGCTCAACCTCGGAGCCCCCGGCCGCCGTGCAGCCGCGCGATGGGTGCCTGCGTGGGGCGCGCCCGAGACGGCCACCAAGGCCGGGCAGGGGCGCCCTCTGCTCGCGCTGCCCCCAGGTCAGCGTGGGGTCCCGGGGTCAGGTTCCTTGTGGGGAGGGGCGCGCCAGGGTGAGGCCAGGGGCAGAGGTGGGGGCTGGAGGCGGGTGGCCAGAGGGTGGGCCTGCGGGGTCTGCGGGTGCTCAGGGGCTGGGGGGGTGACCCTCTCGTCTCCACCGGAGGCGTTTCTATGCGGTGCCGGCCCCCCGCTGGGAAGTGGGGCGGTGGGTGGCTGGGGCCGGCCTGGGCCCGCGCTGGCTGACCTGCTCCTGCGGCCCCTGGGCGGCCGGCCCCGCCCCGAGCCAGGGGGTCTGCGGGCGCCCTCAGCACCCTGGGGAGGGGGTGGGGCTGCCGTCCCTGCCCGCCGCTCCCCCAAGCTCCGGGGCCTTGGGACCCCGGCCCGGAGGGAGAGGCTCCCAGAAGGCCGAGTGCCTGTCCAAGCCCGCGGCCGCCCCCGGCAAAGCTGGACCCCTCCTGGACAGGCCCCGGGTGCTAGTGAGCAGCCCGGACCTCCTTCATGCCGCCTCTGAAAGCTCTGGAAGCTTCTGGAAGGACTAGGAAGACCGCGAGCCCCACTAAGGCACGCCCAGGACGGCCGACGTGTGTCCCCCGTAAAGACGACCGGCCTGCTCCGCACCTGGGCCTGCGCGCGTGCCCGCTCCACGCCCCACGCCCCACGCCCCACGCAGGCAGGCGCACTCCACGCTCCAGGCTGGCGCCCGGGCCCCACCCACGCGCGGGGCGCGGCTGGCTGCACCTGCCTGGGCGCGGTGGCGTCCGGCCCGGCCGGAGATTGCTCGGGAGATTTCCGCCATCTGCTCCCCGACCCTGGGGTGGCGCCCGGGCCGCGTCGGGGCAGGCTGGCCCCCCCCCCCGCCCCCCCCCTCGTCTGCTATGGCGCGAGGCGGGCGTGTGTCCTCGGGTTTATTCAGGAGCTGCTGCAGCCGGGCGCCCGGCGGGTGGGGCCTCACCCCCGCGCAGCCCCCCCTTGCCCCCGCGTGGCGCAGGACACGCGCTGCGGAGCCACGTCCGGCAGGGGCGGCAGGCGGGGCTCCCTGGGCCCGGCCTTGGCGCTGCGCTCCCGCCCGCACTGCGCCGGCCCGGCCTTGGGGATCCCCCACTGCTGTCCGGACAAGGAGCACCTCCACCCCCCACTGGAGGCCCTGCCCAAAGCAGGGGGGATGCTGTGGGGCCCCACATCCCCCTCGCCCCTGGACACTCATGCCCCCAGAGGACCCAGGGCCCAGGTCCCACTCTCCACCCCCAGCTCCCCCTCTGCGCCCCTCCTCCCGGCCACCCTCCCTGCTTGCCCCCACGCGGGCCCCCTCACGGCCCCCCCAGTGTGGGAGGTTGCCCAGAAGGGGGCCCTGGGGCAGGGGACCGACAGGGAAGCCTCCTCCTCAGGCTTCTGTCCACTCTGGCCCTGGTGGCTGCCTCCAAGGCCAGCGCCATTCCCTCCTGCCTCCCGGGTCGGCCGGGTCCAGCACACCGGGTCTCGTCCCCAGAGGCACCTGAGCCCGGGCGCCGACCAGGTGAAGGGAGGGTGGGGGCCAGGTGAGTGGCCACAGCCCACACCGAGGTCAGGCCCCTGGGAGGCCGGCAGGCCAGGGTCAGACGCCCCCTCCCGGACCCAGCCTGCGGGACGGGGCGCCTCCGCGCTCCCGGCGGCCTCACAGCCGGCTGGTCTGCATCAGCCCGTTGCATTCCTGCAGCCGGCCGCTCTTGTCCGGCCGCGGCTCCGTGGTGTCCGCGTCCTCTGCGGCACCCAAGCCCTGGCGCAGGCACAGAGCATTCCGGAAGCTCTGGCGGAAGTTGTCGGAGAGGAAGCCGTAGAGCACAGGGTTGGCGCAGCTGTTGGCGTAGGACAGGACGACCACGAGGAAGTAGGCGCCGGTGGCCAGCGGCTCCTCGGGCAGCACGACGGCCAGGTTGACGATGTTGACGGTGAAGAAGGGCAGCCAGCAGCCCACAAACACCAGCACCAGCACCAGCACCATGCGCGTGGCCTTGCGCTCCGAGCGCCGCCGGGGGGCCCCCACGCGCGCGCCCGAGGCCCTCACCTTGGCCAGCAGCAGCAGGTAGCACAGGCAGATGACCAGCAGCGGCCCGAAGAAGCCCAGCACGGCCGTGTAGATGATGAAGACTGCTCCCCACAGCCCCACGGGCTCGGGCCAGCACAGGTTGCAGGTGCCCCAGCCCTCCTGCACGTCGGCGAAGACCGCCAGCGGCAGCGACATCAGCAGCGAGAAGGCCCAGATGGCGGAGCTGGTCAGCTTGGCCACACGCGGGCGGCGCCAGCGGGCAGAGCGAATGGGGTGCACCACGGCCAGGTAGCGGTCCACGCTCATGACCGTCAGGCAGAAGATGCTGGTGAACTGGTTGATGCCGTCCAGCGTGGTGACCAGGCGGCACAAGACGGAGCCGAAGGGCCAGGAGGAGACGGCGTACTGCGTGGCCAGGAAGGGCAGGCCCAGCATGAACAGCACGTCGGCCACGGCCAGGTTGAGGATGTAGATGTTGGTGACTGTCTTGGCCTTCGCGTGGCGCAGCAGCACGTAGATGACCAGAGCGTTGCCGCCCAGCCCCAGCGCGCACACCAGCAGGTACAGCGCCACGACCCCCGCGCCCCCGCGCGCCGGCAGCGCCCCGCCCAGCGTGCCGTTGTCACCGCTCCAGGAGGCGTTGCCGCCCGCCGCGGCCGAGGCCGGGGACAGAGGCTCCATGGCCGGCCGGCTCTGCAGGCGAGAGAACGGGTTAGTGCAAGGCCCTGCCCGCCCCGCCCTGTCCAGGCAGGCTGGCCCGCGGGTAAACACGGTTACTCAGGTCCACGCTGCGCGCATCAAGCAAATGGCCCGGAAAACCAGCGGGGGAGGAGGGGCGAGCCCGCGCCCCCCAGTCCCGGCCGCTCCCCGGACCAAACAGCTCGCGGGCCTCGTGGCCTGGGCAGCCCCTCCCAGGTAAGGGCGGGACAGCGGGGGCGCCGCCCCGTCCCGCAGGCTGGGTGACAGCGACGCCAACACGTCGCCCTAGGGCCCCGCGGCTGCCTGCGCGCCCCACCAGCCCCTGGGGTGAGCTCCCGCGGGGGCGGCCGGCGTCCCTCCCGTGGGCACCCCCGCCCGTGGCCGGGAGGAGTCGGCCCAGCCCCTGACAGCTGCAGGCGGCACTTAGGGGGGCGGCGTCCCCCATCACAACAGCCGCGCCCCACCGTCCCCTGGGCAGGGGCACCTGAGCGGGAGCAAACACACAAAGCAGAAGAGTGGCGGGGCGCGCCTGCAGCAGGGGGGCGCGGGCCTGGAGGAGGGGGCGCGGGCCTGGAGGAGGGGGCGCGGGCCTGGAGGAGGGGGCGCGGGCCTACAGGAGGGGGCGCGGGCCTGGAGGAGTGGGGCGCGGGCCTGGAGGAGGGGGGGCGGGCCTGCAGGAGGGGGCGCGGGCCTACAGGAGGGGGCGCGGGCCTGGAGGACTGGGGCGCGGGCCTGGAGGAGGGGAGGCGGGCCTGGAGGAGGGGGGGCGGGCCTGCAGGAGGGGGCGCGGGCCTGCAGAAGGGGGGCGCGGGCCTGCAGGAGGGGGTGCGGGGTCCGCAGAGCCTCGGGCGTCCCGGCGGGGCGGGGCCCGCGGGCGGACAGGCGGCCTCGGAGGCGGCCGCCCTCGGGGCGCCCTTCTGGGGGGCCGCGCCCGCGGCCAGGGCTCCAGGGCACGCGCCCCGGGGGCCAGGGCCGCGCTCTCAGGACCGCCTGGGCGGGCAGCTCCGGGCAGCGCCCGGGGGCGGCGGCCTCGCCAGCCTCGCGCCGCCGCCCGGCTCCCCGCCCGCCCGCGGCCCCCGCCCGGCCCGCCCGCCCGCCCGCCCGGCGCCTCCCCCGCGCGGCACTCACCGCGGCGCCCTCCGCTCGGCTGGGCCGGGGCCGGCGCCGTGGGCGGGCGGGCGGGGCGCGCCGGGGCGGGGCGGGGCGGCGAGCGTCGGGGGGCCGGGCTCCCCGCGGACCCCACCCCTGCCGCCCGGCGGGGGTGACGCCGAGCCGCGCCCCCCGCCCCTGCCCGCCCCTGCCCGCCCCTCTCCCTTGGGCCGGGCGGGGGGCCGGGCGGGGGGCGGGGGGCGGGGGGCGGCCGCGCCCTTGTCTTTCCGGGGCTCCCTTGCTTCACCCCGGGAAGCCGAGGGGACGGCGGGCCGCGGCCGCCAGGGGAGGGAACGTGGCGCCAGCCCGGCTTTTTGGGGAGATTCTGGGAGGACAGAGCTCCCCGTCCCCCTCCTCCCGTTTCCGGGGTTCCCTCCAGAATCACACCCCCAGACCCAGGCCCCCCTCTGGGGCAGCCAGGCGGGCGCGGAGAGCCGGCCCCGTGCGCCCCGCGGCGGCCGCTGTGACATTCCGGGGCGCCTCGCAGCCCGCGCGCCCCAGCCTGGCCCCCGACCCCGTGGGGTGCGCCCACCCTCTCCCAGGCCTGGGGCGCTGGGAAGGGGCCAGTCGGAGAGCGTGGAGCTGCCCCCTCCCCCAGCCCTGCCCTTGGCTCTGCCTGGCCTATGGGGCTCTGGGGGCGCAGCCTGGGAGGGGGCACAGCCTGGGCGGGGGCGCAGGGGCTCGGGGCTCCCCAGGCCAGCGGGGGGCTGACAATGGCAGAGCGATGGGGGCCGGGGGGCGCACGAGGCCAGTTCACAGCAGTCACCACCCCGCTGGGGCCAGCAGGTCCCCACTCCACCTGGGGGCACGTGGTGGGAGGCGCCTCGCCCCCTGGGGCCTGCGGGGTGGGGCCTGAGCCCTGAGGGTGCTGCAAAGGACTGGGGGACGCTAGATGAGGGACCCCGCTCCTCGCCCAAGGGCCAGGCCAGTCCTTCGGCAAGTCCTGGTGGCCAAGACCTGCTTCCACTCGCCCGGCTTAGGCAGAGGAAGCCTTTCCGGGCCCCCCTTCTGGCCACCAGGTGCTGGGGGCTGGTTCTGGGGACACCTGGGGCCCCAAGTCCTCCTGTCCCGCCCCCACCTCCTGTCCACGCCCCGGCTAGGCTGTGCTGGCCCTCGTCCGCCCCTCCCTTCAACTGAGCCCAGGCCCGTGGAGTCCGGGCTCCCGTGGGTGGGCGGGCGGGCGGGCGGGCGCCATCCAGCACAGCCCAGCAGCAGGCTGGGGCAACGCCAGATGTGGGGGGGGGGGCTCAGGGAAGGGAGCGGGGCGGCCGCTGGGGCCCTGCAGGAGTGCCCGCCTCTTTGTCCCCAGCTGCGAGCCTAGGGGTCACCTGAGGTGAAGCCCGCCCAGGGACACTGCAGAGGACATGGCCGGTGCTGGGGAGGACAGCGGGATTAGCCACAGCCGGGAGCCATGGCAACGGGACAGTGTCCGGGTGGAGCCGCAGGATGCTCCCGCACCCCCGTGGGGACCCCACCCTCAGCTGGGACCTCCAACCTCGAGGGCGACACCAGTGGCTGCTGGCGCCCCCTCCCCTGTGGGCCATGTTCCGAGCCCCTGTAACCCCTCTGGGTGCAGGAGCGAGGCCATGTGGGGGCTGGGGAGGCCCTGGCCAGGGCAGTGGCTGCGGGCACAGAGTGTCCTCCAGCAGCCGCCTGCCACTCTCCTCAGATGGGCACACAGCCTCCCTCCGGTCGGTGACTGTGTGCACCCCAGCCGGTGCACCCCAACTCCTGTTCTACCAATGCGCCGTCAGCACCGATGCCTCTTCCTCCAGGAAGCCCCCCAGCTGTCTCGGCGCCGGCTGGCTCACAGGCCACACCCACGGCCGTCTGTCCGTGGTGCTTGGCCCGGGCCGTGTGACAGTGACTTTGCCTCACGCCCCGCACCACCACCCCCAGTGCTCCCCGTGAGGACCTGCGCCTGCCCAGGGCTCCAGCCACCTCCTCGGAGCAGGGACGATGGTCAGGTCCCGCGTCCGTCCCAGCCGGCTCAGACTGGTGGGCGCCGGGCGAGCAGCAGGGGCGTGGCTGAGTGGGGCCTGCCCAGAGGAGGGGCCACTCCCTGGGGGCCTCAGTGCCCCGGGCAGCTGGGCCTTCTGCCTCGGCCAGAGCGCGGGGCCTCACAGGGCCATGTGCCCAGAGCCCCGGACCTGGGCCGGTGACCTTGACCGGCGGTGGACGTGCAGGCCAGGCCGGCCATGTGTCCTCTGCAGCCGAGCCCAGCGGGGACGGGCTGGGGACCAGCCCAGCCCTCCCTCCCGAGACCCGGGCTTAGGACGGGGCGCCCGCGTCTCGAGGCAGAACTGTCCCTGTCCTTGTGGCCTTTCCTCAAGTCACCAGTCCCCCGGAGGCTCCTGGGGGCTCGGCCTTGCCTGAGGTCCGGGCTGACGCCTCCCCCATCCCGAGCGCCAGGTTGACACGGCGACGGCGGCCTGCAGAGGCCGGGCAGGCACCAGCCAGGGACAGCCGGGCTCCCCAGCCGCAGGGGACAGTGGGCGGCAGCCCGAGAGCGCCCGAGGCCCAGCCCCAGTGGCGGCAGGCCCTGCCCTCCCGGCTGCTGTTCAGCCTCGTCCAGCTGCAGCATGTCCACACCCTGGCTCCCCAGCACGGCGTGGGGTGCGCGCACGTCTCCCTCCCCGCCCGGCCCCACCTGGGCACGAGGGGGACAGCAGGAGAGCAGTGGGGTGCTCGGGATCCCCGGCCCCTCCCTGCGCGTGCTGGCTGCTGCGGCTGCTACCCCGGGCGCCTGTTCGCTTGCGTCCTCGGAGCCCCTGACCACCCGTCCCCAGGCAGAGCTGGCCCTGGCACCGAGCACCCCCTTCTCCTTCCACCGCGTGCGGGTCTGTGCCCTGGCAGGGCTATGGGGGACACCGCAGCTGAGGGGCTGGGCGGGGGACAGCCCTGGCCTGGAGCCGCTCCACAGGCCCCCCTTTCAGAGCCCACTGCCGGCCATCTGCCGCCACCTGCTGGGCACCGTGGCCCGCCGAGGGTCGAGGAGCCTCCCTCCGCCCCCGCACGCCTGGCTGCCGGGGCTCCAGCTCCGGGCTCAGCTCATCAACCCCTCTGAGCCTCAGGTCCTCCCGGTCTACTTCGGGGGACAGTTACTGCCCAACCCGCCGGAAGCGCCCGGGAGAGCCCTGGCTTGGGGCTGCCCGCTGCAGCCTTGGGCCCTGGGCGCTGGCGTGGACAGCCCGAGAGGGGCTCGTCGCTCCCTGCCCAGGCTCGGGCCTGCCGGGAAGCCCGCCCGTCCCCGGCAGGGGACCCCGCAGTGCCCCCCGCGGCCGAGGTCCCCGAGACCAGCATGTCCACACCCCTGAAGCCTCCGACCCCGAGCCCCCAAGCCGCGGCCCCCCTGGCCCTCGCCGCGGGCCCAGCCCGCACCCCGCCGCGCCGCCAGGGGGCGCCAGCAGCCCGCGCGCTCCCCCCAGAGCCAGGCGCCCCCGCCGCGCGCGGGGAGGGGGGGGTCGGGGGGGGCCAGGTCCCCCCGGAGCGGGCTTCCCCCAGCGGGCCGCAGGGCTGGACGGCGGGGGTCTCCGCCCCGCCGGGGCGGTGCTAGGGGCCCTCCGGCCGCCCCCAGCCTGTGCTGGCCGAGCCATCCGGGCGAGCGGCCAGCCCGGCCCCTGCCGGCAGCTGGTGGCCCCTCGCGGCCAGCGGCCCGCTCGGCGGGGCGGCCACACCTGCCGCGGCAGCTGGCGCCAAATCCCCGAGCCCGGCGGACGGTCACAGCCGCCTTGGCCGCGCCGGCGTCCTGGCAGGATGGCCAGCCTGTCCTCCGCTGAACCGTCCCTCGGGGACCGCGGCCAGGTGGGCGGGCGGACAGCGCCCCGGGGCCC